GTTAGAAGGTGGGTCGCGGGTGGGTCGCGGGAAGGGTCGCGGGTGGGACGATGATAAGAAATGACGAACATGGAACAGAGAGAAGCAACAAACAACAAACAACGCAACCACAACAATCCGCACCGTGGAACCTCACTTCAGCCACGCGCCGAGGGACAATGAACGACCGTTCGGCCCCCTCGCTCTGACCTACCCTGCGCCCTGCACCGCCGCGGGCCGCACGGCTTGACGCCGGCCGGCACCGCGCCCACCAAACCCCGCGAACCGCCGAGCGCCAGCTGCACGCCGATCTGCGTGCGCCACTCGGAGCGCCAGCGCGTCGGCAGCAGCCCGCGCTCGCGCTGCCGGTGCGCCGCGAGCACGGCGAGGTCTCTCTCTCTCTCTCTCTCTCTCTCTTTTGTTTCTCTCTCTCTCTCTCTCTCTCTCTCTCTATATATATATATATATATATATATATATTATATATATATATATAAATAGAGATATATATATATTATATATATATATATATATATATATATATATATATATATATATAAGTGTCTCTCTCTCTCTCTCTCCCTCTCTCGAACAATCTGAGCATGGATCCCACGAGACGCACGTGGCAGGAGGAGACGGGAGAGGAGGGGGAGGGCGAGAGCGCGGGCCACCCGCCCGGCGCCGCCGCCGCGCCAGCGCGGCCCGCCCGGCCTGCGGCCCGGGTCCCGGCCGTGCCCCCGCCGTGGCAGAACTTCGCGGCGCAGGGAGTTCGGAGAATGTTCGGCCTCTCGGGGCCGCCGAAGCTCGAGGCACAAGAGACGGGAAGCGCTCAGCACTGCTTCTGGCGAGGCTCAACAAAGCACGACGGGACATGTTGGGCCGTTTTCTCGGCCTCGGGGGGCCCGTGCCGAGCCCCAGGCCCGTCAAACAAGGGCTCGGGATGACAACCTGGCCCTGGGGAAAGGAAGGGTCGGGACTTCAGGAAGCCCCACAATGAAAAAAACACAGGACGTCGGACGTGTGGGTTGGGTAATCGGGGGTGTCTGTTTTACCCCGCGGCGGCTCAGACTCGGGCGGGGGCGAAAAGTCCTGGCTTGCCTATAGGCCCACCAAAACAAATATGATAACCTTTTGTGGTCTGCGCGAAATGTTTTTTTGTTACACTTCTGGCAGAGACTGTCTCGCTTTAACACGTCGGTTTTATGTTCTACGACCTTTGTTTTGTTCTTCGAGCATTTTGAGGTTCGAAGAACATTCCGCGGTAGGCCTACAGGAATGCCCGGACGGTCCATTCCTGTTCAAAAAGACAGACGCCGTCCCGGGTACCGCGCCGGCACTTCAGCCGATGCGCCGTGGAGACTCAGCGCTTCTGACTCCGGCGCTGGGGGCCCCAAACTGTTCAGTTGAAGCACGATGCTCTGGGTCCCCTCTCAGCCACCCGTTGTCTGGGTTTTCCATCAAAGGGCCCCCCCCCGAAGCCCCGACTCTTTCCCAGGGGCCACCGATTTTCCAGGAGCCGGATCTGACGGTTCCGGGGGCCGGCGAAGGCCCCTGGCGGCCGAAGGTAACCATAGAGCCTTGCGTCGCGATTCTGCTCGCGGCGCGAAGATGTCCGGGTTGGGAGAGCTGGGCGAGCACCGTTCCCCAAAGCGGTCCCGAGATGGTCCAGGAGGGCCACCGGGGGCCGGCGGGCGCCTCAAGGGGACCCACGACAAGCGCAGGGTGCCCTATATCTATATCTATATCTGTGTATATATATATATATATGTTTTTATATATATATATATATATATATATATGTGTGTCTATGTATATATATATATATAGACACACCTACCTACATACATATATATACATATGTATGTATATGTATATATGTATGTGTGTGTCTCTCTCTCTCTCTATATATATATATATTGGGTGTCCCGAGCGGCAGGCGCGTGGCCCTTCGAGGTGCCCAGCGGGGGCCCCAGAGAGGCCCCAGGGTGCAAGCAGCAGGCGCGCTGGGCAACATCGGGTTCATCCTCGGTGTGGAACCGCAGACGGTCCCCAGAAGGACTCCAAGGACCCTGGTTAACTGGCTCCGTTGGGTCCCATGCGGGCACCAACGCAATCCCAAGAGGGCACACTCATGACCCCTCAGGGGCCTCAGGAGGGCCTTGGACTGTTCCAGACGGCCACAGACATAGCCCTAGGCGGCCCAAAGAGTTCCCGAAATAATCCAAGCAATGCAGATGTGAGATTGTCAGGCTCCTCCCTCTCCTCCTTTTCCTCCTCCTCCTCCTCTTCCTCCTCTTCTCTCTCTCTCTCTCTCTCTATCTCTATTTCTCTCTCGATCCCCCCTCTCCCCCCACACCACAAATCCACTCCCTCCTCCTCGTCCTCTTCTCGGCCCCAAGTTTCGCCCAGCACTTCCCGAAACAGATAGAAGACAAGAGGTTCAGAGATGATGACGATGGTGGTAATGCTGGTGATGATGAAGATGCATATGTTGTTGATGGAAGTGATGATGATGCTGATGACGATGAGGATGACGGTGACCGGTGGCTGGCACTGACGGTGATGCTGATGGTGTTGATGCTGATGATGGTGATGCTGATGCTGGTGGTGATGGTGGTGGTGCTGGTGATACTGATGGCGATGCTGCTGATGATGGCGATGACTATGGTGATGGTGATGATGAGGATGATGGTGATGTTGAGGATGCTGATGAAGAGCGCTCTCCTTGAGATGGTACGGCCGCTCAAGGCTCAGTGCAGCCTGCGTGCACACAGCAGCGGGCCCCCCCTCGGCGCCCAGCGCGGCCGCCGGCAGGAGCTCGGCGAGGCGCGCCGCGAGGGCGTTGGAAGCCCTGCTGGGCGCCTGCCGCGCGCATTCCACGCCGAGGTGCTCGAGGAGGCTCCCCGGGAGGACCGAGCCGGCCCTCCGTGCCGACCGCGAGCGGGACGACCGTCTCGCTATGCTGGTCCTTCTTGTGCTTCTCCACGTCGCGAGCCTCTTGGGCGATGGCGCGCGTTGACGTCCACCGGCGTGGGCATTGGCAAGCCGGGCCCGCAGGCGACAAGGTCCAACCGCGCCTCGGTGATCCCACCGCCAGCCTCCCAGCGCAGCTCCGGGACGCAGCGCTCCATACCACCGAGCCCGCCGCGGGTGTAGATCCATTCCGCCAGAGCCCACGAGATCTCGGTGTGCAACCAGATAATAATGCTTATGGTGATGATAGCGGTGATGGTGATGAAGGTGGATGTAGTGGTGGTGGTGGTGGTGGTAATGGTCATGATCAGGATGGTGGTGGCACGTAATGGTGACAACGACGATGGATCAGATGATGCTGATGCTGATGATGGTGAAGGTGGTAATGGTGGTGGTGATGATGTTGGTGGTTGTGGTGGTGGTGCCGACGATGATGCTGCTGATGGTGATGGTGTTCGTGATGGTTGTGATGTTGAGTGATAGTAATGATGATGATGGTGATGATGATGATGATGACGATCATTCTGTAACCCAGCCCCAGAGGATGCATGCCGCTAGGCTGGTCGGCAATTGGGAACCTCCTCGCTACGGATTTCAACTCTGGTTGGAGCCCACTCTCAGCCCCATACAAGTGCGGCACCGCAAACACTGTGACAAATCGCGCAACTCGCACAACGACAGCATTACGCTTGTACCGATATCTGCACCACACTGGTCGCACTCATACTCGCACTCTGCCTTGTTATGCTCAGCGCCATGGCCGCACCAGCAGCCGCGAAGACCAAGCGCTCCGCACATGCCAAGCCTCGGCTCCGTGGCAGGCGACTTGCTGCGAGTCCCGCCACTGCCATGGAGGCCACCCTGACCGTCTCTATCTGAATCTCCTTCGCTTGCGACATACCTCTCGATACACAGCCTTGCCGTGCTGCGTATGTAGATCATGCTCGCCCTCATCGAAACACGTGCAGCTCCTCCAGGGGCTCCCCTTGCTCTCGCAGCTTCTCTGGGCCCTGCAGCGCGCAGGGCGCCCACTCCGCTCCCAACAGCTCGACACCAAAGCCCACCCCACCATACATGTCCGTGCTCTCCTCGGCGTTCACCTGGGACTTCACCTGCGTCCGAGCCTCGCCACTCTCCGCGACTCCACGCTCCTCCAACAACGTGTCGACCGGCGCCTCCGAGACGGGAGCGACGACGGTCGCCTCCGCCCGCAGCCCCGAGGGCCCGCCAGGGGCGGTGGGGGCCTGCCGCGGGGGTGTCGGCCGAGGCCTTCGCCGCCGAGGCCGCGACGCAGATCTCCACGCCGCACTCCTCGGCCTGGCAGGTCGGGCCCGTCGCCCAGCAGCGACGCTCCTCCAGGCGGGCGCTCTGCTGCAGGCCGCCGCAGATCAGCGCATCCCTGCTGCGGCGACCCACGCCCGCGGCATCGGCGTGCAGCGCCACGCGGCGCCTCCGCAGGGCGGTCAGCTGGCCTCGCAGCGCGGCGGCCTCGGCCGATAGGTCGACGCCAGGCCCCGAGCGGCGGCCGCGAGCGCCCCGCCGCCGCGCGGCAGACCGCTCTGCGTGGGTCCTCTGATGATGCTGCTGGTGATGGTGCTGGTGGTGCTGATGATGCTGATGATGATGCTGGTGATGACGAGGATGTTGATGCTGATGATGCTGATGATGATGCTGATGATGCTGATGGTGATGGCGATAGTGCTGGTGATGACGATGATGATAACGCTGATGAAGATGACAACGACGACGATGGCCATGGCGATGGTGATGCTTCTGATGATGATGGCAATAGTGATGATATCGCTGCTGCTGCTGATGATGATGCTGCTGGTAATGATGTTGTTGATGGTGATGACGATAAGGATGATGGTAGTAATGATGCTGATGGTGATGCTGATGATGATGGTCGTAATGATGATGATGCTAATGATGCTGCCGCTGCTGCTGCTGCTGATGATGATGATGATGATGATGCTGATGATTATGATGCTGATGCTGATGGTGATGATGGTGATGATTGTGATTTTGGTCATGATTGTGATGATGGGGGGGCTCACAAGACGGCCCTAGTGGGACCCCCCAAAACCGCCCGCACGAAGCGCTGCGAAGCGAAGCGTCCCCTCGACCTGGTGAGGATCGGTGCGAATCGTCCCCTCGCAGCGGTGCGACTCGTCTCCTCGAAAGCCGCTCGTCCAGCCGTGGTCACCCCGCGGAGCGGTGCAGGATCGTCTCCTGCCGGGGGCACCGCCACCGCGCCTAGCACCGACGGGTCGTCCCCGACCAGGTCCCTTATAGGAGGCTTGGGAATGGGCACCAACACCAACACAAGGGGCTGCCTCCACCAGGGGAAGATGATCCCAGATTTTGGTGGTGGTGGTAATCCTTCGGCAACCCACGAGCCCGAAAAGCACCATCACCGAGATCGGGATCTTCTTCCCTCGGTGGAGGCACACGGCCGATAGTGGTGTGGGTGTCAACCTCTAGGCCTCCTCCTCCTCCTCCTCCTCCTCCTCCTCCTCCTCCTCCTCCCCTCCTCCTCCCCCCCTCCTCCCCCTCCTCCTCCTCTCCTCCTCCTCCTCCTCCCTCCTCCTCCCCCTCCTCCTCCTCCTCCTCCTCCTCCTCCTCCTCCTCCTCCTCCTCCTCCTCCTCCTCCTCCTACCTATGGCAGCGTTGGTGTCGACCTCTGGGCCTCCGACCTTAGGCTCAGCAGGTCGGCGCCGCCGAGCGCGGAGCGCTCGCTGCCCGATCCGTCGTCGTCGGAGCTGCTGTCGTCGTCCGCCGCTCCTCGTGCCGCCGCGGCGGCCACCGCCGTGGCGGGGCCGCCCGCGGCTTCCTCCCGGGGGGGGGGGAAACGACCCCAGACCTTCCTCGAGGGAGGAGGAGGAGGAGGAGAGGAGGAGGGAGGAGGAGGAGGAGGAGGAGGAGGAGGAAGGAGGGGAGGAGGAGGAGGAGGAGGAGGAGGAGGAGGGGAGCAGGAGGAGGAGGAGGAGGAGGAGGAGGAGGAGGAGGAGGAGGAGGAGGAGGAGGAGGAGGCGGAGGAGGACTGGGGGGGACTGGCCTAGGGCGAGGGGCTGGCGACGGACGGCTTCGAGGCTCGAGGTCTCCTCACGCTCTCGTCGCTCCCCCGCGGCTTTCTGGCCTCAGGGATTGCCGTCCCACGGGCTGCCTGCCGCTCGCCGAAAGCGTTCTGGGGGTCGGAATTGTCACAGCTCGCCGCCAGAGACCGGAGCTATGACTCGAAAGCCAAACGATGGGGATCACTGAGGGGGACTGGCCCAGGGGGAACGATAAGTACCCCTCCCCTTTCTCCCCCTCCCCTTCTCCCTCTCCCCCCCCCCTCCCTTCCCCTCGTCCCTCTGCCTCTCCTCCTCCTTCTCCTCCTCCTCCTTCTCCTCCTCCTCCTTTCCTCCTGCCCTCTTCCTCCTCCTCCTCCTCCTCCTCCTCCTCCTCCTCCTCCTCCTCTTCCTGATCCGCCCCCTCCAACTGCTTCGTGCACTGACTTTTCCCGGCCTCCGAACACACCGAGGACGGCCCAAGGGGCTCCCGAGATCGCCCCCTGCCCAGGGGGGGAGACTGTGCCCCGGAAGCGGCGGTACCTCGCCGACGGCTCAGCGACGGGCCCCCGAGGACGAGACCGCACCTCCCTGGGCGGGCCCGGCCCAGGCCCCGGGCCCCCGATAGGCGGGGGTCGGGCCCAACCCGCCCCCGTCGTTGCCCCCCCCCTCCCCCCCAACGGCCGCCTCGCCGCGGCACCGGCGGAGGAGGGCGTCGTGGGTCAGCACCTCTGAAGGAGAGCAAAGAAGCCTCATACACGAACACGGCCTTCGGCGGCGAGTCCCGGGGGGGAGTGAGCAGAAGAGGGTCTGCACAGAAGGCTCGGAAGTGTCCCCCAGCCTTCTGCTGAGAAGTCCTCCGAGCCTTCCCGAAGGCGCAGAACACTCCTCAGAAGGCCAGGGGGGCTTCTGAGAAGCCCCGCCGCCTTCCGAGAGGGCCTTCTCCTTTTCACTTCCCTCCCTCGCTCGCCGCCGAAATTCGTTGGGAGTTCCGCGCGGATTTCGTGGGTCGGCGCTGGATCCCCGTCCTGGCGCGCAGAGGGTGACGTGGACGGCGTCGGAGTCGCCGCCAAGGGGCATCCTGCGCCGATCCCTGAGCTCCACGCGGGGCTCCGAAACTTTCTGGTTTCCCAGGGACGTCCGGTGTCTTGATTTTCTCCCATGCGCGGGGCCAGCTTGTCCTCCCGAGTGATTTTGACGGTCCCGGGGTCTGGCGAGGGCCCCTAGAGGCCCAGACTGGGAAACAACTCCGCCTTCTTTTCTTGCAGCAGTCCTGTGGTGCTGCGTCCCCGATTCGACAAGGCAGCGCCCTGCGTCACTCACTCCCTCCTCTTCCCCCTCCTCCCTCCTCTCACCCCTACCTCTGTCCTCCGTATGTCAATCATTTCGGCACACCCCTCGCACGTTTCGTGGCCCCATCGGGATCTCAACCGCCAGTCTCAGTGCCGCGAGAAACTTCCGCCTTGACTTTTTCTTTGTTTGATCAACGTTGGAGGCCTGGCTATTGTTCCACGTAGGGACCCGCGAGATGCAGTGTCCAGACGAGCCAAGAAATCCGAGCGGAGCTTCAAATGATTATCTTTATCGTCGTCGTCGTCGTCGTCGTCGCCGCCGCCGCCGCCGTCGTAGTTGTCGTCGTTATCGTCGTCGTTATCGTCGTCGTCGTCGTCGTCGTCGTCGTCGTCGTCGTCGTCGTCGTCGTCGTCGTCGTCGTCGTCGTCGTCGTTGGCCCGATGGGGAACCCCAACATGACCGATACCGCTCCCAAGACCTCTCTTGGGGTCCGTTTTGACCCACATATACCGCGGCGGATCCAGCCGTGGCCACGAAGGCCTCCCAGGAGGCTCAAACGGGCGAGACCCGCGGAAAAGGCAACGGAATAATAGAAACCCATTCCAAGAAACACCCTGCTGGCCTCCAGGGTGCCCTGGGTTTCTTGGGCTGATGCTTTTGCTATGGAAAGCGTGACGTTCCCACATCAACAATCAATGGACTTCCTGGGGTTCCAGGGTTGGATTTCTTATGGAAGGTTTCTTGTGCTCGAGCTTCTACTGTAACGGTGCCTTCGAAAGAAAAGCATAAATCGGCGTAGTCAGATTTTCTCTAAATTTTGCGCGGGTCCATTCAATCGGCGCTGGACCCCCCCTCCCTGGCGCGCGGAGCGCGCCGTGGGCGGCGCCCGAGGCGCCGCCAGGGAGGCCCAGCGCAGATCTAAGAAATGCGCGCGGACCTCCCTCCCAGCACTTCTGTTCTTCCTCTTTTGTTGTAATATATATAAATATGTATATATATATATATATATATATATATGTCACTCTTCGTCTTGAGTCCTCTGGGTTTGCGCCGCTTTTTCTTTCCCAAACCTCGTCGACGCGCAGCTTCTGCACGAAGAACTCGCGCAGGCCACCGAACGCGGCGCCGGCGGCGGGCTCGCCGCGGCCGCCCCGCCGGCGGCCCCCACGGGAAGCGGCCTCCTCCGGGGCAGCGCCACGGGCAACCGCGGGTGCGTGTGGCCCGTTGGGTGTTTGTGCGGCCCGATGCATGGCCGGATGGGTGTTACTGTGAATGTGTGAAGGCTTCTTTCACTAGCTGCAAACCTCAGGGCAACTCTTACATGGCTGCGATCCCGCCCAAAAAAGACAGGCCACACAAACACCAATCTGGATGCGCGTTGAATGCACGCAGGTAGTAGTAGTAGTAGTAGTAGTAGTAGTAGTAGTAGTAGTAGTAGTAGTAGTAGTAATAGTAGTAGTAGTAGTAGTAGTAGTAGTAGTAGTAGTAGTAGTAGTAGTAGTAGTAGAGTAGTAATAGTAGTAGTAGTAGTAGTAGTAGTAGTAGTAGTAGTAGTAGTAGTAGTAGTAAAGTAGTAGTAGTAGTAGTAGTAGTAGTAGTAGTAGTAGTAGTAGTAGTAGTAGTAGTCGACTCGTAG